AATATTCCCAATATCTCTACTACACCAGCAAATATTCCCAATATCTCTACTACACCAGCAAATATTTCCCCCTCTCCTGCTGCTGTGATTTCCAGTCCCCCGTCTGTCACTCCTCCACGTCCTCTTCGTAACCGGCGGCCTAATGTCAGGATTTTTAATCCCGAGTTTGTCACTAGTTCCCCTCAAGCTCATGTTGTGTCGCGTCATCCTCTTCCCGAGTCTCTAGAACCTAAAACTGTTGCTCAAGCTCTGATACCATATGGAAATATTGATCAAACATACTGAAATCATTGATGAAGCAAACATATATACACACCTAGCACATTGCCGATCCTATTCTCAAGGAGTCTGGCGCACATGATTAGGAAGAGATAACTACAAAGGAATATCAGGCTCTTCTGAAAAATGGGACATGGGAACTGGTACCTCGAGGTTCACATCGCCCTGTTGGGTGCAAGTGGGTGTTCCGGATTAAGCGTCATGCGGATGGTTCTATTGATCGGTTTAAAGCCCGTTTGGTGGCAAAGGGGTATTTGCAGGAGGCTGGCCGTGATTACTTTGAGACTTTTAGCCCGGTCATGAAACCGCTTACTATTCGCATTGTATTGAGCATTGCTCTTACTAACAATTGGCCCCTCCGTCAACTTGATATTAATAATGCTTTTCTTCATGGCCAGTTATCTGAACAGGTTTTTATGGAGCAACCCCCGGGTTATGTTCATCCGGAGTATCCTCACTACAAGAAAATATCAATATTGCAATGGATACATTGCAACGGACTTTTTTCTGTTGTAGAATTGCGACGGCTTTTTCATTTGCAACGGAATTATTGCGCAACGGACTTGTTTGCAACGGAAGTTTTTTGCAACGGTTTTTTTGCAACAGAAAGTGCTAGTATCCGTTGCAATTTTGGCGGGAGGTTGGCGCCTTTTTACGGGAAAGATCTGCAACAGAGATCTACAACAGTATTTCTGTCGCAGAATGTTTGCTACAGCTTATTAAATGTCTGCAACGAAAAAAGCAGTTGCAATAAATTAAAGTTTTTTGTACTTTACATTTTTACATCTATATGTTTAACTAATTGTATATTTTTTTAAATTTTTTAATGTGTAAATAATAATAATTAAAATTATTAACCCCAAGGTATTAAACTGATTTGCGAGAATTTAATTACAAAAAATTATATTATAATTAAAAAACATACAATGGATTAGAGTATTAAAACTAAAAAACGTAAATTTGGTTTATATGCACAGAAGTTATATTGATATACGTCATAAAAAGTAGGAATAACTCGATGAAAAATAACTCGATGTAGCTGAGCAGGGAGAGGGTAGAAGGGCGATGAGCAGCGGTGGCAGGGTGTGATGATGAGGGTTGTAGTGGATGTGGGGCCGAGGTAGGGGGTTGCGGGTGGTAGGGTGAGGCCAGGATGGGGTGGGGTGGGAGGGAAAGGGGCCAGGTATGGGTGGGCGGAGGTCAGGGGCGAGGCAGAGAAAGAATTTAAAAAATTCAAATTCTATCGAAAATCAATTTCACCCTATTGAGGGATAATATTTTATGGTCCTTACGTTAATATTACCAAATGCAGAAAAATAACTAAAAATTTTCTAGAAAATAGTTTTTTTTCAACCAAACACATCCTGAATAAAAAATAAATTTGATCACTTATCCTAGAGTTAGGTCCACCGGACAAATGTTTATTTTGAATCAACGTGCTGTTCATTCTGATGCAACTAGTGTCCATTTTCACACGTTTATACATTACAGTTATAATATTTATTTACGATCAACATAGTGTTTATTCTGTAACAACATAGACAATGTGGTGTTCACTCTCAAATGGCGCAATATTCATTCTAAAATAACATAATATTCATATATATATAGTTTGCTCAGTGTTAATACAACTCTCAAATTCATACCACCACCCCCATCAACTTCATCTTTATCCTCTTCATCGCATCTATTACAATTTATATCATCATTGGAAAGTTCTCGCTGCGGCCGTCCACCTCATTTCGCAGCCATTGTCCACCTCAGTTCCTGGTCGTCTTCAGAAACTTGTTGATTCTCCTCTTCATCAGCTTCAATCTACTATTCAATTGGCGATACTCCTATTTCACAAAAAGATAAAATTGACTGTACGGTTCTTCCAGTACAGCCGGTTGTACGGTAGAATTTGCAGCATAAAGGAATTTTTAGTTAAAAAAATCATTATCTATTTATTTTTTGCACAAAAATCATGATTTATAATTCCACGTTTTTTTATTGGAAAATGCTAAAAAAACCCCACCCTTGCTACCAACCATCCCCCACATAAACATGTGGTAGGGAGGCAAGAAAATTAAAATTAGAGAGTGGGTGGAGAATGGGTAGAGATATATATGTGGTAGAGAAGTGGGTAGAGGCAAGGTTGGTAGTAAGAGTGGGGGGTGTGTAGCACGGTCCTTTTTTATTGGAAAATGCTAAAAACTCCCAACCCTTGATACCAACCATGCCCCCTACATAAACATGTGGAGAAGTGAGTGGAGGTAGCAAGATTGGGGGTGTGTAGCAGGGTCCTTTTTTATTTTAAAAGGCAGCGCCTATTATTGAAGGAGCGTCAATGATAGATACGCCGTTTTGGTAATTTGGCCGAGTCTCCCGCACCACTACCCAGCCATCGGAATATTCCTGCTGATCCGGAGAATGGTGGTCGAAAGGGGCGGTGCCGCCGTAATTCATTTGATATTCTTATCGGTTCTCGTCCGACTAGAAGCTATTCGTGGACGTCATCTCCTACCGTCGGTCCCAAGGCCGCTGCCCAACGATGCAGCCCCCTTTGCACGGTGGTTAGTTTCGCAGGGCTCATGGGGTGTCCTCAAGTGCGTTTCTCTCTCTCTCTATAGGTTTAATTTCTCTTTAGAGAAACCTGCTGAATTTGAATTCCAGTTTCGTAATCTGCTTTTGAATGAATGTCCAATGGATTGAAGGTCGATTCGAGTTGGAGCTCATATACTTTGAGAAGAATAAAAAAAGCAATTAGGTCAATTGAATGATCCTCCTTTGGATACTGTTTAAGGATTGATTATATGCAAGCTAATTAAATTTCATGGGTGTGCAGTACAATTGCAAGTGACTTAGGAGGAGCACCTTTCGGGTAAGGTGATGCGTTCATAGCTTCCCCATTTCCCTTCTTTTATCTTTACTCCATTTGAATTCTTACTTTCTTATTTTATATATGAAGTCTTGATTAGTAACTGCAGCAAAGTAGTCTGTCTCTCTGTTAGTCTTGATCTCAACAACCCAATAGATTTAGGATTATAATGGGGGGTTTTTGTTGTTGATGTTGTTGTTTTACACATTTAGAATTATTTGGTCATTGGGATTAATGGCCGACTCTCTTCATGTGATCAGATTGAAATAAACTCTGATCTGGTCTGATTGTAGTTATATTTAAAATTGTTTCTTATCTGATTTTAATAAACAATAAGTAATAAGAATAAGTTGAAGAGAACAAGCTCTAAGTGACTAGGGAGGGGTGACTAGGGATTCCTAACTTCTCACACAAATTCTTAGAAATTCCTTTATCTATGGAGTTGTGATCAAAAGAAGATGTGATTGCAATTGTATTTATTTTATTTCTAATTGCCCTGGTTTCTATGATGTGGGTCTGATGTCTAAATTATATACAGAGTACATGCTTTTGATTGCAACAACAATGACGACAATGAAAAATGTAATGATGTACACAACCTTACCCGTATAGAACAAAGAGTTTGTTTCCGTTAAGACCTTTCATTCATCGAGCCCTTTACTTCTCAAACCTTCATATGTAGTAGGAAATAAGAAGCTGGCCAAGTTCAATTTCCAATGGTCGAATATGCTTTTCATTGCAATTGTGTTTATTTTGGAATAGGGAAATACAAGTTGGTAAGCTTATGCATCCCACGTATGTTGCGCAGGAATGTTGTATCATACAGTGATGGAGTGCCGGGGGAAGGTCGTGGCACACCATTCTTCTACTTAACAACCCTTGATCCCACTGCCAAATACGGATTGGAAGACCAAAGATCATCCTTCACCATCAGTGAATATCCCATTGGAACATGTGGGGATAAAGATCCCGAAAACCCTACATGTGCTAAAATCACATTGACAGGAAAGGTTGTTTACCCTTTGAATCAAACTAAGATCCTTTTGGTACACTTCAGTTTTTCTTTTCCGGGTGTTTTCAAGACTTGCTGCGTTTTTTTTTTTTTGTAGTTGAAATTGCTTGATGAGAACTCGGAGGAACTCCAATTTGCTCGAACTGCATTGTTCACAAAACACCATGAGATGGCAGGTCAAAACAATTTATCTCTTGTTTGCCCTTCTCTGGCTTGCGAGCACATGCACCATTATGACCTTATGATTCTTCCACAGGCTGGCCTGAGGATCACAATTTCCAAGTTTTCAAATTAGAAATTGAAGCGATATTCCTAATTAATTGGTATGGTGGCCCCAAACCCCTCTCAGTAGATGAATACCTGCAAAGCCAAATCCCAAGTTCAAACCAGTAATTGCCTTTCCCTTATTAATTTGCAGAGAAAGCAGTAGAACCACATCCTCCTATTGCTAAACCATGACTATATTGTTGTATGCAGGGTCAAAATGGTCTCTTTAGGGAATTTAATATCAACATCTGTCCCCAAGTTGTTTTCATGGCTGGATTGAAGCACCTGACCCAAACTATGGGAGGGATTATATGTTTCCTTGGTATTCATTTCTTTCAATCATGGTGACATATTGACCAAAGATCCATGCTAAGGGCACTCCACTTTCTCACAGATACCCCTCTTATTGTTTAGTGTTTGTGTATATATGTGAAAAAATTGGGGTAAAAGTCGGGGTGCTTTTAGCATTTTCCTTGGCCAAATATAAACATACAAATCAGCATATAATTATCATTGGACTAGTCCTTTGGATGACACCTAAGAATCAAATAAATTCTTGTGCATAGCTTTAAAAAAATCTATGTAAAAAAAAAGGTGTTATTGAGATTAGTATACTTATTGAGGTTGAAATGAGGTAGAATATATGTAGTGAAACATAAAGAAAGCAGGTTCAAGTTTAAATAATCTTTTTCAACAAGCTTTAACAGAAGAGGGTGTCCTTTTAGGCTGAGAAGATGCAGGAGCATCTTGGCTATCCTCTCCACAGCCCTTCCCATGCCTTGCAACGAACAAAGCAATCAGCAACTTCTCCTCATCAACCCCTCTCGGCCGTGATCCGTCGCGAGTGGGCCCCGCTTTGCAACCGTGATCTGCCGGAAACCGATGCTGCAGGCACACCCGGACCTGGCAGGCATTGCAAAAGCTATTGTTCGAAAAGGTCAATACTGCCCTGCACCGCCTCACGGGACAGGTGGGTTTCTTCTTCTTCGCCGGGTCGCAGTGGCCGGAACTCTCGTGCTGCTGCAGCGCGGCCTTCTCGGCCTCCCCGTCGCAGCCGGTGGTCTCGATGGCGGTGGAGCACGTGGGGCACACAACCACCTTCCTGTCGGTGCGGCCTGATTTTGGGCAGGTGTGGGACTTGTAAGATCTGTGCTCCATGCAGAAAACGTGATTGCAGGCATCGCATCGGAAGGGGAGAAAATCTAGCCGGCGGCAATGGGAGTTTTGGCAATGGCTTCCTAAATCTGGAAAAGCTTCTGTTCTTCCTCCTCCCATATCTCTCTCTTTCTTGATCTCAATATTTCCCTTTGTTTTCTTTGTTTCCTTCTTCTTTTTCTTCTTCAGATTGTGATTTTGATAGCAGGCAGGGGGGAAGAAGTTATTATATAGGGAGAGATGGGTGAAGATGTCTTGGAGCCTAAGCCAAAATTTGATTCCAAAACTTACCCGCAAAAGGAGAAGGAAAAAAAAGATCATGCAACACTTACACCAACAAATATACCTCATTTGTACACTACAGGTTTGCACAAACATTTCGATGGTTTACACCGACACAAGTGTTAGTGCGTTAATAAAAATTCACACAGACACAAATGTTGGTGCGTTAAACAAAAATTAGTTTTACACCAACACAAAATGTTGGTACAAAACTGTGGGGTACAAATTGGGGTACAAATCTTGGTGTACACATAGCATAATCCAAAAAAAAACTTTTATATGTGAAAGCGCGTGCTTGGTGGAGCTTCCGGCTTCGTACGCGCGCTTCCGGCTCGCGGAATAAGTGTGAAAGCCCAGTCCAATTTGCCTTCGAGGCGTTCGAATACAATGGGCTTTTTTAGCATGGACAGTGTGTCACTTCATTCGTCAACCAAAACGGCCCAAAAAAGAGTCACTTCTCGAAAGTTCTTCCTTTATTTCCCTCCACATCATCCATGTTTATACTACAGCATTTTCTCATTTTATTTTCCCTACCCACTCTAATCATTCTTCTTATTTTTATTTTAATTTCAAATTACTTGCATTTTTTGTTCTCAATCAATCAAATTTAATGTGTAATTTTATACCCTAGAGCATTTTATTCCCTTCCCAACTACACTCCCTCACTTTGTTCTACCCTGTTTAACTATTCTTCTTTGACACATAAGCTAGCCACCTCCTTATTTCTCTTCGTTAGAGAATCATATTTAGGAGCATCTTCATTAGAGTATCATATTTAGGAGCATGGTCTTTAATGTTTCAATTTTAAACTTCTCGTTTTCTTTTAGTTTCTTTTAATTTCTTCTAGTTCTTTTTAATTTTTTTCATTTTTTAACTATTTTTTTTCTCGTCAAATTTTTTCTACTCTCCAAACAATTAATCAAAAATGATTTATTTTTAATGTGACTATTATTATTATTACGGAGCATTATTATTGTATTATTATTCTTATTTTAATTATCTTTATTATTATTATTGCAACTATTATGTTCATTACTATAATTTATAAATTATTTCATTTTTTTTCCATTTCAATATTTTTATGATTTACACTCATAATTACATTTTTCTTCATCTTTTAATATAAATAATATAGCTTTTTGTTGATAAATCTACATGATAGTATAGGAAAACATCATATTTTTTAAACTATGTTAAAAAAAATAGAAGTTTATATTTTTATTCTCAAAATAAGATTTACAATGTAATTACAATGTCAATCAAGAAAAAAATAGATTTAAACACATTTTGTGACATGTTTGATATTTAAAATAAAATCTTATAATATGTAAAATGCAACTACAAATATATTACTTTATAATAAATATTTTGAAATACATTGAGATGCAACATAACCACAATAAAAAAAATTTTATTGCTTTTTATTTTGTAGAATTTTTGATTACTTTTTAAATATGTAAATTTTATTTTTTATTTATTTATCAACTTTTAAATAAAATATATTTAAAAAACTTGAGATTTACTTCATTTGACATAAAGTATAAATGATTTAGGGAGAGAAAGAGTACATTTCACAAATCATATATTGTCTCTTACGAAAGAATATATTTCCCCAAATCTATTCTCTTATTTTTTCTTCTCTAATAATTTGTCTCCTCCTTCTCCTTTCACCTCATCATATTCCCCTCATTTTTCCCTATTAGAAATCCCTGCGAGAGACTCTTACTAATTACGATAATTATGCTACAAATTCAATATGCCGCAAATGAAAAAAAGGGTTTACACTGTATACATAACATACATATTCCAAGTTAACATGATCCATCCTCACGCCATCGCCGCCGGATTGTTGAACGCATCGCACCTCCGTCGAATCTCGCCGTCACGGCCAGTCTTGACGCCGTAAGCACTGAGCTTCTCCATCGCCCGGCCGAACGCCTCAAAGAACGCCGTCTGGTTCCGCCCGTATAGCTCCACGAACGGCCTGGTTCTCGGATCCGAATGCAGCGCGTGGTCGGACGACAACAGCCCCAATCCCCTCGGCAAGTTCTGGTAGTACACGTTGTCGAACCTGCCCGGCGTCATCACGTCGTTGGCCACCGATAGAGTCGGGTCGCGCGTGTAATTCGCGCAGGCGTTTCTCAGTTGCTGCGCGAATTGCGGGTTGTACGACGGGTCGGATCGGGTTGACCCGGAGTAGTGGTAGATGTTGGAGCTGAACTCTTTGCAGTGGGAGAACCCGATCGTGTGTGCCCCCGTGAGAGCCACCATTTCCTGGACCGAGAAGTTTCTGGACCGGAAAATCTCGATTATTTGGGCCATAGGCATTGTGGGCCGGGGAAGATTCCCCTCTACGTGGGCTGCGCTCGACACCAGCCCGTCTTTCCGGCCCAATAGAACGGTGTAGTACGGGCCGCCGGCTTGGACGACGAGGTTCCGGGTCGCGACGGCGAGGATGTCGGCGCAGGAGACGACGCCGGGGCAGGCGAGTTCAAGCGCGGTCTTGGCGCGGACCACCACATCGAATCCGTCGCCCGGGAGGGAGAGGTTGATGTCGGCGTCGCGCTCCGCCTTGTTGGAATGGGTGGAGGAGACGAGGATGGAGGCGTCGCAGCCGGTGACGAAGCAGTCGTGGAAGGAGAGGCGGAGGGCGGCGGCGGCGGTGGTGGGGGACTCGATCTGTTTTTTGGTGGTTTTATCTTCCATGATCCAATTGAACGAGGGGCAGCTGCGGCGGTAGTAGTCGGGGTAGAGCTGCTGCGGCGGCGGCTGGTGGGGGCGGCGCTGAGAGAAGGAGGGAGTGAGTGCAGAGGCGGCGAGAGATAGGAAGAGGAGAAGCAGTGGGAATGTGAAGGCCATTGATGATGGGCCGGGAATGGGTGTTTTGCAGAGGAATTGAATAATCTAAAAATGGCACTTCCTCTCTCCTCTCTGGTTTCTCTGTGATTGAGAGAATTGGGAGAGAAGGCTAATCAGAAATAATTGGGGGTTTAACTCAGAGCCAATCACGGATTAACGGCGACATTGGTGGCGTGGGGGTCCCCTTCATTAAGATATTGGGGAAATCCAGCTCTATAACCATGATAAAGAATCAACAATTTTGTGATTGAAAATAAAGAATGAGCCTAATTCCTGAAGGTCCCGACATAAATGACACTAACAAATATTCAAAAAATGTAAATTAATTATATATTACCAATCAAAAAGTGAAGTTTGCACGGTGCTTTGAAAATCAAATTCGAGTCTACTCTTTAGCAGATCTGACTCAATGAATTGAGTTACATCCTCTGATAATAAAAAATTTGGAGTTGTAAGTTTACACGTTAATTTTCAAAACTTAAATGAGAACAAAAATTTGAGTTTGTGCTTTCTAGGTTAACAAATACGAGAATCTCAGAACTTGTTAAAGTATAAAACAATTGTATTATGAAAAAATATGAAAAATAGTGTTGATAAAAATATATATGAAGAATAGCGTCTATGTCTATATATAATTCTCTTTTTCTAACACGTGCACTATGACAAAAACAAAATCTTATACTCTCTATTGGATGCACAATATACCTAAAGTTTTTTGGCGTCGTGGAAAGTTTATATGGCTCATAACGTCTTAAACTTCAAGGCTTCCGAGGAGTTTTATACATAGAAGATTCTCATATTTTACTCATATATTTTTATATGGCATGGGGGTTCTTTCAAAATTTGAAGCCTCTTAGGCATTGTGCCTCAGGATTTTCTTCCAGCACAATCAATCATATGTTATTTTAAGCTAACTAGTGAGGGAGCCCCAATTATATAACCTCTAAGCCTCATTTTCCTTGTATCCTGCTATCAAACATAATTTCTAAAATAACGGTTTATTGGACCCGATTATATAACCTCAAGGCATCTTTTGCTTTGAAACCTCTCCCATACTTGAAGAGGCTCCAAACACTTTCTCCATGTGGTGTCTAAAGTTTTTTTTTCTAATAAGATTAAAGAACAGTTGTGTAGGGGTGGGCAGTCTGGGCACTGTACTAGTCTTGTATGACTGAGTTCTGAAACAACTAATACACGGTATATCATAGCCTAGAACAACTAGAAATTTAGGAGGATGAACGCTAGAAAGCACCGTTGAAAAATTGATAAAACGAAGAACGAGAATTACAACTAGATAATTTAACGAATCGCGAACATGCTTTCAGATCAGAGTTATTTCGTGATATATCAAAATACTCTAATCGGATTAGACGTTAATCAAAAATAAGCCTTTGAAAAAATTACACTCTACCATACTTAGCGACTCCTTTAATATAGTTAAAGATTTTGGCGACTAGACATGAATGTTCGCACAACAGGGAGAGAACCAAATTTTTGCTAAAGGATGCAAGTGTTCGTGTGAGTTTTCCATTCGGTTTTGAGTCGATTTTTACGTTTATCCGTACGTCCAAATCCTTAGGGTTTCGAACTCAGTTTTCAAAACCTGAAAAATTTTCATAAAGCAATAACGTCCAAAATAAAAAATTTCTAAGGGGCTCTAACCTAAAGTCAACGTTGGGATTTGAAAATGTGTTTTCTCATTTAGGAAATCCACTTTGAACACAAAATCTTTTGTTGGCTTTTTTATATATTGTGGATGGTTGTTTAAAAAAAAAGGATAAATGAAGTTATAAGGAGTAACTTCAATCTAACTACCCTTGATAGTTGTAATTAATCATTATATAGGAATTTAGATCTACCGAACCAAGTAATTGAGGTAGTGTGATGCTGTGGATCACGGTTCTTTGAGTTTAATGCAGCTAAGCATTAGTGGAGAAGAAGATAAGGAAGGCTAGAGATGGGAGGGAGGCTGCTCTCGAAAAAAGATGAATTCCATCTTCGATTACCTTGGAACAATTACATTGAATGAGATCTTTTCATGATTCTCAGTCAAAGATTTTATGCATGACATAAACGTCTTACTTTTTTTTAACAAGAGTTGACCCAGAACTAGCCAAGTATTCTTCCACTTTAATAGTTAGATTTTGGGGTATGATTATTCCTAATGTTGTATCATCAGAAAGGAAGCAACAAAATGCCCCACATATAAGTTCAATGGACTTATATGTCTCGGCCATTTGGGAAGTTCGCACAAACCCGCATGTGCCCCCGCACACTATCTTTGGCTCCCCCAGACTTTTATCAATCAGTTGACCCCGAATTCAACGTAGTTCTATCATTTCTGTGTCTAATTGTAAGACCTAAATTTGATTCATGACCATTGCGTTGTAAAGCAACTATGCTAAACATATGAATTTTGCAAGTAGTAGATACATATTCTTTTCTTTGCCACCAATATACGATTAAAGTCCAATTTACTTGTCACTAACCGTGCAATCGGGTTTGGAGGACCTTCGGAGATGAGTCTCATCCTTTCTATGTCTAATTGACCAATTGAGATACGTCGCCATGAGTGGAGCCCACTTTTGAAATTGCATGGGGGAGTGGGAGTAGGTTTGGTTAAAGTACAGTGGCTTCATATTCATTCATTCATTGTCCCTCTCTCTCTATCCCTTTAGTACTGCACTGTCCCATAATTCTTGCGCTGTAAATACCTGGCACCAGGCTTGTGATATGATCATCCAATCCAATCCAATCCATCCTTCGTACCAATTCACCCATCCATTCAATAAATAAAGTTTTAGTTGGGAAGTAACTTTAGTTGTTCATTGTAAATTTTTAAAAAGAACCAAAAACGTAGTGCTTACTTATAATTTACTCGTAATTCTTGGTGATTATTTATGATGAACTTAAAAACAAAGTTGTTGTTTATACAAGTTCTAAAAGATCTTAGGATTTGAGTATTTGTCTAATGTGTTCTCGTACTTTTTTAAAGTGCTTCTATGGTGCACGTTGGACATATACTATTGTTATGGACATTCTTACATATTTTAAATTTTTTATTAAAAAAAATGATGCTTGTTTGAGTAGTAAGAAAATACTTATTTTGCTCATATGTAAGGCAAGTGAATGGTGGACATTAAATCCACTATAGAGTTTCCCTTTCTTTAATACTCTGATGTATAAAAAAACCTAAAAGCCTGTTTTTCTCATAAAATAAAATTAAATCAAACCAAAAAACTCAAGACTTTGTAAAAAACCACAAGACTGGAGAAAAATTTATCAAAGCTCGAGCCTCACAAGAACATTATATTGAATCATTATGCATCATTAAATTTTACTCTCTTCCCTAACTGAACTACATCTTACGATGAACGAAACAAAATTTCAAATTCTCAATTCATTTTATTTTAAGATTGATATAGAAATTAATGATAAAATTTAAATAATTAAAAAGGAGAACTCCTTAGATGGGAGTAAAAAAAATATGAAAATACTAAAATACAAGTAATAATTTTTTTAAAAGCAAAATAGGAGTTCATACTGGCATGAAAAATGCTAGGGACACCATTTGGTGTACCCCATTTGTCCCCCACCCCCTCCATCACCACACAAAAAGGCAAGAAACTAAAACAAAATTAAATAAATAAAAATAAAATAAAATTAAATGGTGGAGAAAGGGGTGGGGGACAAATGGGGTACACCTTTGGTGTACCCCTAGCATTGCTCTACTGGCATTATTACGGTCAAACTGTCACCACCACGTACACCCTATTTGTCGCCGCCAGCCACTAGAGTACCGTCGTAGATCACCGACGATTGAATGATCATACTAATATATTGCATTGTTATAACGTTTCTATCACATTGTACGTATTTCTACACCACACTCGCATTATACTTTTATTTTAGTGAAATTTGCACTAAATAGGACTAAAACATAATGACTTTTCGAATCTAGGACTTAAACTTTTTTATTCCTTAAATAGGACTTAATAATGTCTTCGTGGAAGAAATAATGCCCAGCAATGATAGACATTACTTGAATAATGACTAAAGAATAATGACCAAAGGTCCTACATTCGGGAATAAAAATATATGGTCCTATTTTGGGAAAGTCATTATGTTTTAGTCCTATTTAGGTAAATTACTCTTTATTTTAGTCTTAAAACATTTAGGATTCATATATAGGTATTTTTATACTCTTATGCTCATACCTAGGAGGATTTCTTTATTTAAAAAAAAAAGAAGTGACAACAGTATTTTATTTTATTAAATAATCTATAAAAACAAGCAAATAAACAAAAATTCTGGTAATTTTTTGAATAATAGTGAAAGATGAGTAAAAAATTTAAACATTGCAGTACATGGAGCAATCGATTTAATGAAACTAAAAAAAAAAAACAGCATGAAAACATGAGGTAGGTGTAGATCCAGCTTGATCATTAATGAATCAAATCTGTCCCATAGGAGTTACAGTAGACAGGTGAAACAAAAGGTGCATGGGGGTAAAAACGTGAACCATGGAGAAACAAATTAAAGGACAGAACAGCGAAGCACTGTAATTAAATAAATTTAATTTTTAGGGGCACTTGGGCCTGCCGCCGCGGGTGGTCATGTTGGCGTAGCAGCTGCCGCACATCTCCTTGTTGCCGTACTGTCCCGGCGGCACGCACTTACACCGCAGACAGCAAGTCGTGCACGCCCTCAGGCACACGTTCTGCCTCGAGTGCTTCGCGCACCTCACCTTGCACGGCGGCAAGCACTCTGCAAATTAATTAAACCCCCCCCCCCCAAAGAAAAAAACGAATTTTACATATATTATTCATCACCATATGATTTGATTTGTGTTCAAAGCTAAGATTAATAATAAAAAAAATGTCATTTTTAGCCATTTTAGGTACCTTGCGTGTTTCTAGGTGGTGGGAAATGAGGTGACGGAGAGATTGTAGGAGGAGGAGGAGAAGGCGACGGTGGAGGACTCGCCGCATGGGCCGGGGTTGACGGTGGCGGCGGAGGGTATTTCTTGACGGGGGACGGAAGGGGTGTGGGCAGAGATGGGGGTGGCGTCCTGAGGGGAGACAGGGGCGGAGGAGGGGCAGACGGTGGTGCCTTCACGGGAACTGCAGGAACAGGGGACGGCGGGGGATATGTCGTCTTGACGGGAGGAGACGCCTGCTTGAGCGGCGGAGGAGAAGACAGAGCAGGTAACGGCGGCGTCGCTGATGGAGGAGCGGTTTGACCCAACACCTGCATATATACGTATATCATTGTCATTTTTTATTTATGACTACTCTACAATAGGTACGATATGATCCGTATATTACCAGAAGAATTGAAGAAGAAGAAGAAAGAAGAAAAAGAGAGATAATGATCTAAGATAAGCTTACAGGTGATGGGGACATAATAAGAGCGGAGATGAAAATGAAAGAAGCAAAGAAAAGGGCGGCGTTGATGAAACCCATCTTCATCGATCTCCGATGCCAACTAGAGATCTCTATACTATTATCCACCGCTTGGATTGGGGTTTATATATAGTGATGACGATGAAGATGGACATATGTATTTCTATATGTACTTTATTAGCTTCTTTCTACTCTCTTCTGCCGAGTCCCATTACTTTACCACCTGCTCTGCTTGGATACCATGTCAAGAAATCAATTCAACCAAAAGGTCAAGAAATCAATTCAACCAAAACCTCAAACTTGTAGTTGTAGTCCAAAAAGAATTATTTATATTGACTGAATAATTAAATTAATCATAAATAAACAACACCTCTTATAAAAATGCAAAACTATGATGGGCTAGCTATAGCCTATTGGTCTTATTTGCCAAAGAATGGGCAATGCGTGATGTTGAGCCCGGGTAGGAGGAGGCAAATTTGGACCCCCAAAGATCTGGTTTTCTTTTTTTTTTTTAAGTTTGAAATGCGATAAAGAAGATATCTTTGGAGTCAAACGCGCCCACGACTAAGTGCATCCATCACCCTCAATTATTCATTCTTGTTTGGCACTACATGCGCTCGCTAACACTTCTTCTCTTCATCTAAATAATTTTAATTTGATTGAAAATAAATTTTAATGTGATCTGAAATAATCGAAATATAATTATATTTAAAACTATTTTTGATATAATCTGAATTAATTTCAATAAAAAAACAACTAATAAAAATAGAAATATTTGCACTAAATAACACTAAAACTTAAGTCATTTCCTAAATAGCACTTAAATTATTTTATTCCTTAAATAGCACTTAATAATGTCCATAATGTCCAGTGATGACAAATATTTGCTTGAGTAATGACTAATGCATAATGACTAAAAGTGCTATTTGTCCATAATATCCAGTGATGACAAATATTTACTTGAATAATGATTAATGCATAATGACTAAAAGTGCTACATTGGGAAGAAAAACACATGTAGTGCTATTTAAGGAAAGTCATTATGTTTTAATGCTATTTAAGTAAATTAATCATAAAAATAAGTTGAAAACAAAAACAGATTCTTAACAACCAAAAAATGCAACTTAGGAACCTCTACACTTTGGATTCCCACACTCCGGCCTAGGGGTGGGCAAAAAAACCGAACTAACATGGTACCAAACCGGACCGTAATGGTACCGAACCGTTTTTAGTGTTTTCAAACGGGATTGATTTTTTCATCACGAACCAAAACCGAACCGATACCAAATGGGACGGGACCATGATGCATATATTTAAAACCGATTATCACGGACCGAACCGTCCAACGCTATATACGGAGTGCGTATCTCAAATAATTATGGAGTATTTGTCTACTTCATTTTACCGCATATAGAATACTTCGTATTTTATTATTCATTTTTAAACTCTCTCATTATTATTGTTGTTATTATATTTATCATTACTATTAGCATTATTTTTTTATAGTTATTAGTATTCCAATATTATATGAATTGGGGAAAAAATTATTTTTTAACTTTGGACTCGTTATCTTTCATTTTTTATGTTTATGATCCGTTTAAATTTGAAATTAATACTTTTATTTAACAAACTTGTGCTTTTTTATACAAACGTATGTATTAAATTCAATATTTTTTAAGTAATGTACATTTATTTTTTTGGCACGGTTTGAGCATGGGTATGGTATTGTACAGTTCCGTTTCAAAACGGAATGGTACCGAATGGTTTTGTAGTTCATCCGGTACCGATACCGAACCGTTTAAATAAGAGCGGTCTGTGATAGGTTCCGGTAGTATCACGGACCATCACGGACCGCGCCCACCACTACTCCGGCCCTATGGGAGGAAAGTGAAAATGTAAATCCCTTCATTCTTTTGGACATTTTATTTGCGAGTAGAAGTGTTTAATTGGGTGCACAAGAAATTAGGACGAGAAAGATTCGTGAAACGGATGGAGTATACTTTTAAGAGTTAATAATTTTTTTGGCTTTGTAGAATAGGTGATTTTTCTTTTTAAGCAATGTAATTTTTTTTGTTAAGTCATTCTTACATTTTTTTATTTTGAAAATGGTCTTTAAATATAATTTACACATCTAATTTATTGAGATAACACATTTATTTTTTATTCAATATTCTAATCTTACATTTCTAATGGCATAGATCTTCTCCTTCATCCAATCACATCCTCAATTTCCAAACTTTATTAGACTATATTCCTAAAAAAATTGAAATTTGAGATGTAATATGAATAAAAATACAATTTAGGATATGTGAATTGTGTTGGAGATGATATAAATGTAAGACGATGATGTTTAATACGAAATAAATATGTTATCCCAATAAAATAGAAATGTAAACTAAGTTTAGTGACCATTTTAAAAATAAAAAAATTGGTCATGATAACATAACAAAAAAAATCGTCAAATTCGTTAGAAAAGAAAAAGAAAATAATTTTCTTTTCTTGTTCTCACCAAGGAAAATTGTTTTGTATCTTAGGTTATTGGACCATGCTAGGGTGCCACCACATGAGTGCACCCATGGTAGCACCCATGTGGTGGCATCCTAGCATTTTCCTAGGTTATTTAGGCTTCTCATTTTTTTAAGGATAAAGCTATTTGTACCCCAAACTTTTGTACCCCATTTTGTACCCCGCAGTTTTTGCACCAATATTTTGTGTTAGTGTAAAACTAATTTTTATTAACGCACCAACATTTTAACGCACCAACACTTGTGTCGGTGTAAACCATCAAAATGTTTGTGTATAACTGCAATGTACAAATGAACTGGAGTATAATTTTTGTGTAAGTGTAAACATGATCCTTTTTTTAATCATTTCATTTCTAGTTGAAGAGTCAAAATAGGAGTATAATATCTTTTGGCGGGCGGGAGCGGCATTGCATGTGCGGAGTGCCATGTGAAATTGAAGTTTTGAGCTGACTTTCAATATTTTAATGATTGATTCATACTCAATCAGCACTTCAGCAGCTACATACTCTTATCAGATTTCAAAAAACAATCCAAAATATTTTATTTCTTCAATTCATTTTATTTAAATATTAGTATAATAAAAAAATAAAATTTACATATTTAAACATGAAAATTTTTTCGAAATAAGTAGTGTACAGAATATTTTATTTTATCAAATTATCAATCAAAACATACAAATAAACAAAAATTTTCGTAATTGTTGAAAAAGAGAATATGAAAAACATTTTAGGACGGATGGAGTATAAACTTATTGTTGTGAGATGATAAAAAAATCAAGATATACTACATTTAATAGTTGCTTTTTTGAACAAAAAAAGTTACGTATTTAATTGGATATTTTTACAGATGACTACTAAGAGAACTAATCTTGATTATAAAAAATCACGTAGCTAATTATTGCATGCTTATTGAGAATTTATTTTCAGAAATATCATAATATAAAGGACAATTTTGAAAATTTATTCTTACTAAAAGCATGTTTTTAATGCTAAAATAGAATTTTTAATGTTTTTTATTAAAAAACATGCATGATTTGTAATGCCGGAAGCCCGGAATACAAAGATTCTTACTTCAATTTTTAGTTTTATTCAAATACATATTTTAACTTGTACTCCGTTCCCAAAAGAAAGTTTCTCCGTATGTGTAATTTCACGAGATTCAAAGAAATTATTGAAAGATGAAAAATATGCAGAAAAAATAGTCCTTCAAGTCATACTTATCGTTGGATATACTACCTCCGTCCCACTGTATTTGTCCACTTTCATTTCTGCTTACCATCCAATGCACTTCTTTAATCCATTTTATCTTGTAATTTGTATATTAAAAAATTATAGAAATTATATATTAATAATCTATATGTTAAAACAAATCAAACAAGATCACACATGATTATATTTAGGCTTACACATTGAGAGATTTTGATGAGTCAAAGTGCTTAGATGAACAGTTCCAAAAGTCAAATGTGGACAAATACAGGAGAACGGAGAGAGTACAATTTTTTAAAACGATTAAAGCTTAACGCCTGAGCATTAAATGTTGTTAAACTTGTTGACTTTAAGTTTAACGTCCTATTAGAACAAACTGAAAGGAACTGGAAAATGTTAGAAAAAATAAAATTTAAAAAATCATCGAATTGAATGATCACTAAAATAAATATGTAAGAAAACTAATTGTAGATATAAAGAATTCAACTTTGTCCATGTTTAAGGTTTTATGTTGTTATAAATTTGAATATATACTATTGTTGTATAGTCATCATATGTAAATATATTTTTTGAAGTCGTTGTTGGAAGAATAAATAAAATGGAAGGAATTGAAAAAAAAATTATAATGAGTTGGAAGAAAATTAAAAAAAATTGAAAGAAATTGTAAGAAGTTGAAAAGTTAAAAGTTAATTTTTCCAATTGAAAAGAGCAAAACCTCAATATTGTTAAAGTCATTAAATGTTGGTAAAAGTCAGTTTTAAATTAACGGTGCAATTTAGGCTAATCCATTTAGTCCTTTTTCATATGGAAATTTAAAAAAAAGTAAAAGAATTACTTTAAACACAAAAAAATTCTTTTTGGTGGGCAAGAGTAATTTGTTATTCATACACACCAATGATAATTGTCTATTAACTCTATATAATTGTCTATTAACTCTATATAATTGTCTATTAACTCTATATGTTTAAAAATAATTATCATTTAAGCAGGTACAAATCACTATAAAGTTATCAAATTTAGTCTTAACCATGATAGGTTTATAGGATGAGTGAAAAAAAAAGGGTCCAATTCTCTGGAGAAAGACGGAGTAATCATTTTGACAGCTTGGAGTCATCCCACAACAGCTATCACATGCATATACGACGCAGCAGTATATGAGATTCCTAATCTCGAGCAATTTCTTTTCTCAAAATACTTTTTTTACTTTATTTTTCCCCTTTTTACCAAAAAACACAAGAAAAAAAAAATACTCCCTTCCGTAAGAGCAATTCCAATAGAACGCTAAGTGACCGTTAGCTTTTTGTTAATTGACCCAAGACTCGCACACATACCAAAATGTGAGATTATTTCTGATGACAGTGAAAAGTGAAATTCTATTTGAAAATGCGAAAAAAAGTGAGATTATTTGAGATAATTTTAACCTAAAAAATATGTGATGCAAAAAAGACATGCATGTGTACTAGGTACAACCCTTAACAAGATCTTAAGAGATTCAGAGCATTGATACAGTACACGGGAAAGCCATACCCTAAAAGCTAGCTGTTAAGGTGGGAGAACCCTTGGCTATATAAATTCATCACCAAGTCCCCCATTTAACCGGTGTGGGACAATGAAATCAGTCTGTATCACACATATTGGCCTTATTTGACATAAGCATTTCTAATTAACATTAATATTTTGATTAGTCTCTAATTTTTAAAAAATGTAAATCGGCCCACGCCTCAACATACTGGCCATTAGGGGTGTGCAGGGGGACCGAAAATTAGACCTGAACCGGACCGGAATGGACCGGTCCGGACCGACCCGGAGTAATCAGGCCCGGTCTCCGGTCTTAATAAATTTTAGATTCCGGGTTCCGGTCCGGTCCGGTCTAAGACCCGGAAATAACCGGCCCGGACCGGAATTATTAAATACGGAGTACATTATTATTTTTAATTTTTTATACCTATCCTATTATTCCTATCCACTAATTCAAGTATCCAACTATCCAAGCCCAACACTCATTATTCAGTCCAAGTCCAATTAAACAAACCTAAGACTAGAGCCCCAACATCTTGTTTTCCTTATCTCATCACTTTGTGTCTTCGTCAGTCGGCTCCTCCCAGTCCCAGACTCCTTGGCCGCATCTCGCCAATGGAGACCAGAGACCAGAGCCGCATCTCACAATAAAATTACAGCCGTCGCCAGTCTCCAGTCGTTCTCGCCGTTAGCCACATCTTGTCCTTGCCGGCGCCATCTCGCTCTCACCAACCGCCAGCCGCATCTCCTTCTCCTCATCTGCATCTCGTTCGCCAGCCCATTTGTTTTCATATGAATTTTGTCAATACTCCTTTATTACATTTCTTATCTTATTGATTTCTATTAAATTATGGTGGATTTGTGGAGTACTTTTTGGTATAAGTTCAAACAAATACAATAATCCGGTCGGTCCATATTAGGGTAAACCCGAACCGGACCGGAATATTTAGGTCCGGACCGGTTCAGACCGGTAACCAACAGGTCCGGTCTCCGGTCTTAAGAATATCCTGATTCCTGTTCCGGTCCTAACCGGTTCCGGTCCGGTTCGGTCCGGTTTTGGACCGGTGCACACCCCTATTGGCTATATTTAATTACGTACTCCCTCCGTCCCTAAATAAACTTCCGTTTTTGACTTTTTGAGGATTTAAGGGAGGGATATTTTGGTGTTGACTTTCCAAAAATACCCTTGATGTGATGTGTAAAAGTAAGATGTGATATGTAGATTATTAGTAAAAAGGTATAATGTGATAGGTAGGGTATGAAAAAGTAAAGGGTAAAAGAGGTTTTTTAAGGGAAAAAAGAAGTTTATTTGGGAACAAAGAAAAAACGAAAGAGAGAGTTTATTTAGGGACGGAGGGAGTATTTATTTATTTATTGATTTTTCTCTGCAGCCCTGTTGGTATGGAGTGGGACTTTCCAGATGCGAATGACATAAGATGCTTCCTCGTTTGTTCCATTCTATGCGGTCCCTAAGCTAATGTGTATCCATTCTTCCCATATTACATCAAGTTGTTTTAGAAAATCGAACATTATTGTTGCCAAAAAAAAAAAGAAAAGAAAATCAAACATTAACGTTTTCTTTTTTTTTAATTTCCTTTGTTAAAGGTACTCCTTATCACAATTATAGAGTCAATTTACCTTGACAATTGACTCTATTAAATTATTAAATTCATTATTTTTTATTTTTATTTTGAAATGTTTTATATTCTGTATATATGTTTTTTTGAAATGTGTTCTAGGTAATGTTTTAAAATCTTAACCAAAATATTAGGAAAAATACATTGAATTTTGTTATAAATTTAATATGAATAGACTCATTTTGAAACACTATACTACTTCAGAATATCATAATCTCATAACATATACGGAGTATATGTTTATATATAAACATGGATACTAATGACTAAAGTTTTGCATCAAAGACCATTATAAGTCAAATAAAAAAGATATAAGAAAGATGAAGTATTTATTTGAAATGAATAATAAAATGAATGAATAAAAATTCTTCTAGGAGGGAGACTACAAGCTCAGAAATAATTGTGACTCGTAAATGTGCAAAGAAATCAACTCCAGTAAAAGCTTCTCTTCACAGATCTCTTCGCAGACTCAAGCTTGGGCCCTTATCCAACTTTGTATTCGACAAGAAACAAGCCCAAAGTAAAACTATACCCATTAGTAAAAAGGCCATTTCAGATGCAATTGGGCTTTGTGAAAAAAAGGACAGTTTTGCAGCCAAGTAAGAAGCTTTTTATTACATCATGAAAAGATTCATTTCCAGATCTTCTTCTTCTTCTCCCATTCGCCGTCGCCTCTTCTCATTCAGGGGGGAGTAATTTGGAAGACCTCTCACTTCACATTTACTGTTTAAACTTTATAAATCTCAACAGTAAAAAATGGTGCAAGAAAAGAGGAAAAGAGGCCGGAAACCTAAAAACGCGACAATGGAACTCTCCGGCAACGGCGACACTTCCATGGTCGCGACCGAGGAACCGTTGTCGACGGTGATCCCCGAGAGCGATAACAATGACCCCCCTTCGCAACGCCGCGGCCGCGGCCGCCCGAAGAAAACAGGTAAACCGGAGGAAGACATCGACCGAGGGATCGCGGCTTCGCCGGAGAGACGGGGCCATTGTGCGACGGACGTTAATGGAGAATTGCCGTTGTTGAATGGGGAATTGCGTCGCCCTGCGGAACTGCTGGCGGCTGCTGCAGCCAAGGCTGCCCCTTGGATGGACGCGGTGGTGAAGGTCTTCTGCGTTCACACGGAGCCCAATTTTTCGCTGCCTTGGCAGAGAAAGAGGCAGTACAGCTCTAACAGCACAGGTTTCATCATCGGAGGAAGGAGAGTGTTGACGAATGCCCACTCCGTGGAGCATCACACTCAAGTCAAGCTCAAGAAACGCGGCTCAGATAGCAAATACTTGGCCACTGTGCTAGCTATTGGGACCGAGTGCGATATAGGTAGTTCTTCCCTTCTTGTTTGCCAAGATTAGTAACTTCTATTCGCTTTCAATTCATATGCCATTGCATGTTTATAGATGTTAAATTTATGCTGCAATTACGTTTTAGATCGAGTAAAGTAATGAGGATATACTTCTTGCTTTAATTGAGCCTAAGAGAACATTTACCCCTTTTAGTATAAGAGAGTTGATATTGAATGTAATTTATGGTCTTGAAACAGCTTTGTTAGCTGTGGATGGTGATGAGTTTTGGGAGGGAGTAACCCCAGTAGAATTTGGAGAACTGCCTGCACTGCAAGATGCTGTAACTGTTGTTGGCTATCCTATTGGAGGAGACACTATATCCGTGACTTGTGGTGTTGTCTCACGCATGGAGATACTTTCTTATGTTCACGGATCAACTGAGCTTCTTGGGCTTCAGGTTTTGTTTCCAATTTTTTTTCCACTCCTGGGAAATGATATTTATTGGTGTGTTTTTTGGGGTAAACATTATATGTATTCTTTTGTAATGCTGCGAGACTGTGTTACAGATAGATGCTGCGATTAACTCAGGAAATTCTGGTGGACCTGCCTTTAATAGTAATGGAAAATGTGTGGGCATTGCATTTCAATCACTCAAACATGAAGATGCAGAGAACATTGGCTATGTCATACCAACACCTGTGATCATGCATTTTATTCTTGATTATGAGAAGAATGGAGCTTACACAGGTAGGTAGATGGTCTCAAATGTTGAACCCTAAGGACCAAAATTTTATCTTGCACTGCAGTTTTTTTTTTTTTGGTTTTTTGATGGACACGTTGTTGAGTGTCATCGTGTTTTCTCTGTTGTGTTCATCATTCCAGGGTTTCCAGTCTTAGGTATTGAGTGGCAGAAAATGGAGAACCCCGACCTACGAATGTCAGTTGGTATGGGACCTAATCAGAAGGGTGTCCGTATTCGAAGAGTGGAGCCTACAGCTTCAGAATCGAATTTCTTAAATCCATCCGATGTTCTTCTTAGCTTTGATGGGGTTGATATTGCCAATGATGGAACAGGTCTCTACTCTATAACTTTCTTCTTTGAATCATTTCCTTAGTTAAAGAATACCTCAACCAGTTCAATACTGTAAACTTTATATCCAAAATATGTTTCAGTTTTTTTTCCCTTCACTTCTTCTATCTGTTCCATTTCATTTTCATGATAAATTTCTGTGAAAACATTGAGAATTTGAATTTGTGACATGTTCAAAAATATGCTTTTGTTTTCCTCTTCCAGTTCCTTTCAGGCATGGAGAGCGCATTGGATTTAGTTATCTGATATCTCAAAAATATACGGGAGATTCTACTAAAGTCAAAGTTCTCCGAAACTCCAAGACACTCACGTTTAACATAAGATTGGACACTTACAAAAGACTAATTCCAGCACATATTAAGGGAAAACCTCCTTCATATTACATAGTTGGTGGATTTGTTTTCTCTGCTGTTTCGGTTCCATATCTACGCTCAGAGGTGTGTAATTAATATTGCATAACCCCATAGCTGTGTGCTGCATTGAATGTTAGGAGATTTATGTGATTACATGCCATAATGATGTGCTTTTAATTGCAGTATGGAAAAGATTACGAGTTTGATGCTCCTGTTAAACTGCTGGACAAACTTGCCCATGCAATGGCACAATCTATTGATGAGCAACTTGTTGTTGTGTCTCAGGTCCGTCATCAATTCAATTAGTTAAGACTTGAGAACATTTGGTGTTTAATATCTCCGTACAAATTAGAAGTAGGAATTGTTTTAAGATTCTGTATGAAATTTGTTTTAGGTGCTTGTGGCTGACATCAATATTGGATATGAGGACATCGTAAATACACAGGTGAGATAAAAATTATCTGATGAATGCAGTGCTTATAATCATAGTACAATCTTAGAGCTTTAGTTATGTCTATGGTGCCATAGAGGCATATTTGTATTGCAAAATTCTTAATCTGATTCAATTCATATAGGTCATTGCATTCAATGGCAAGCCAGTGAAAAATTTGAAGAGCTTAGCGAACATGGTGGAGGCTTGTGATGAAGAGTACTTAACATTTCATTTGGATTATGATCAGGTATTCTCTCTTTTTTTATCATGTTTTATTTTCTTCTGGTCTCTCATCTTACTATTTGTATTTAATGTTTGGTTTAGGTTGTAGTCCTGAAGACAAGCACCGCCAAAGCTGCCACATCAGACATTCTTGCAATGCATTGCATACCTTCGGCCATGTCTGATGATCTGAAGACATGAAGAGCAGTTCAATAGGTAAACTCTGCTTAGTAGCGCTTAGTGCTTGATGCCTAAAGGGGAAGATATTGTGTTTTTTTGCTAGAAAATGGATGCCTAAAGGGGAAGATACTGTGTTTTTTGCTAGAGGATGTAGTAATATGAACCGAGAGCCAAGGTAGCACATCCGGCACCTTGTCCCTTCTTGCACCCAATTTGATTAACTACTTTAATACATATCTTAGTTCCTAAGTGCACATGTTTCAGTTCTTGCAGTGCTTTCACGATTCATTACACAATTGACCAAACTACACACTTTTATCTATCCGATGACTCGTTTGGCATGTCTTCACATTTACGACCTTGTAACAAGGGTAATTTTTCAGCAGTCGAGGACTCCAAATCACTAGCTTTAAGGTTGTCATCCTTCTCCTTGGCTTTTCCCCACATCACAGTGTAAAACCCAATGGCTATGATTGTTGATCCAATGATGCTACAAATAGGAGAGAAAGGAGGGGAAAATGTATCATACTCTGCTAAAAGTAAGGCGATTGAAGTGGATGAGAGAATATGATAATAATACCTTCCCAAGTAGAGAGTATCACCTAGGATGACAACTCCCATGGCCACAGCTATGGCGATGGACAGTGGCTTGAACATTGCTACATAGACTGGTCCCTTCACTCTTAGTGCCCAGGTGTGGATGGTATTGTTCACAAAAGACCCAAAGATCCCCTATTCAATACCATCATACGTTGTGAGTCCTATCTTAGATTTCATCACAGGAACGAGGCACCAAAGTCTAGGGATGTGCATTTTGGCATTGGTTTGGTTTAAAATGGTATGGGAAAAATATTTACTAACTAAAACCAAACTACATATGGATTATATTTTGGTTTGGTTAAAAACCAAACCAAAATGTCACCCTTACTAAATCCCATGCACGATTCTATCACTTACTGAGCATATGATAGAGGCAAGTGAGATATCCAGTCTAATCTTCCATTTGATCAGGTCTGGTACCATGAACGCGCCCACAATCGCAGCAAGTACACTCACGATTAAGTTGTAGAAGAAAACCACAGTTAGTTCTGCTGGATATTCCTTCATGATTTGTGTCTGTACATATAAGATATAGCATTAGATTTTCACACAAAGTAGTGGACACTTGGTTCACAAAATGTAAGATTACCTGGACTATGTACCACATTGGGACCAAAAGATACTCAGTTGTAAGAAAAAGTCCTCCCAACATCCAGTTTGACTGTGTCGAGCTTAGAAACCGAATGACATTAGAAGTTGTATGGGGTGAAGTAGTAGTAGTAACAGCAATTCTAGGACCCTTATAGAGTGTCACTACGAAAGCTCCCGTTACTGACACTATAGTGCCCATCACTTTGGCCCTGCTTGTAGGACTTCTTAACACCAGTGTCTCCATCCTACAAAATAACAGAAGTTAGTGGATGTGAACCTTGAAAATGAAACCTTAAATATAGAGTTGGATTTGGGAAGCTACCTGAAAAGGAGTGCAAGGATGAATGTAAAGGCAGGGACAAGGTTGCTTATTGCAGAAGCTAGAGTTGGTGAGCTGTAGCTTATTCCAGCATAACCCATCACCTGTGATGCGCATCTGTCCTTCCCATCCACACCCCAATAAGAAAACAGAAAAAGCCCAAGCTAGTTTATGCATTAAGCTGTTAGTTTATAGTAGCTTGTGGGTGAAAAGGGAGTCTTGAGTTCATTACCCGATGACGCCGAGGAGGAGAATCTTGAGGGCGACGGAGCAGTTGAGTGGCGGAAGCACTCTTGATCTGCATCCCATGGAGTATTAATTACCTTCTAGTTTTACTTTTCAATTATTATTATTATTATCATCCATAGATGATAGTAAAAAAAAACACTGAAAACATGCCTGCTGGAGAAGAAGGGGGAGGGGAGGAGACAGATGGCGGCAACACCATAAGCGTAGACGACGAAGACATGGTTACTCATGCCTTGGTTTGTCGCCGCTTTGAACAGTGTGTTCAGCCCCACATTTATGCACTCCATCACCACCAAAGCCGCAAACGGCAACACCTCGTTGTACACCGTGGTGGCGTACCTTCCTCTTCCTGCTGCCGCCGACATTTCCGGTCAGTTGTTCTGGTGCAGTATAGAAATAGCTTCACACTTCACTAGAGCACACAGCCTATGTGCCTCGTATTCACTTCTTAGGCCACTTTTAAAGGCATCATCAATCATTCATTCATCTAGTGTTGCGTACCAATGATTATTTGGGTTTCATATCAGTTGTGGGTTTTTAGCCTTCCCCTTATTATATGCACACTTTTCGTTTTAGTCCTCGTACGTTTTTTTTGTTATTGCAAAACAATCCTTGTGATACGGAATATTTTGTTTTCATGTCCCATACGTAACTATTTTGTTAGATGCTGTGGTGTGTTCATCACAACCTCCCTATTTAGTTTTCTTGTCCGTCTCGGGCCCATATCAAAATAAAGTTCACTTTTTCTTTGCCAAAAAATAAAATGTTTGCTTTTTTTTTTGTTTGTTCCAAAATAAGATTGTGTAGTTCAATTTATTTCATTTTTTGATGAAGAGAGTAGTACTACTTTTGTCTCTGAGTATTTGTCTGGTTTTGAATTTTTGCAGTTAAAATTGTCAAACATTGAACGTTAATAAATTTATTTCATTTTAGATATTGATACAAACTATTTTTAAAATATTATTTTATCTAATTATTATAGTATATAATTCTTATTTAATTATAAGTCAAAGATTGAATGTGATTGTGGGTAAGAAATTAAAATTGAGCAAATATTTAGGGAGGGAGGTATTAATAGAGTGTATGAGAGCGTGTTTTGTCAACATTCTAACAAGGACTGATGTGACACTCTTTTTGTCAGTGCCGTTGTTATTATCTTTATTTCTCTGCTATTGACTTTTATTAAGGCATCAACTTGTCTTTGTGTATGATTATGGTTTCGGTGGATTGAAGTATTGAACATTTTAGGGTTCAATTTAAACAGCTCTATTTTGGTTGGGCATGGAAATTAAAGCCAATGTAAAGATCAATTCATTTTGGGCCTGTTTGGAAATAGCGTTAGAGATTAACGTTAGCGTTTTGAAAAAAACCATCTACGAGCAGCATTTAGTGTTTGCGCTTTCAAAGTAATCTGCACCGTTAATTTTGTCCAAACGCTAGCGCTAATTTCCAACGGTATTCCTTAACAGACCTTTTAATGTAGCACATCCGGCACCTTCTCCCTTCTTGCACCCAATTTGATTAACTACTTTAATACATATCTTAGTTCCTAAGTGCACATGTTTCAGTTCTTGCAGTGCTTTCACGATGCATAGATATTTTACATTACACAGTTGACCAAGCTACACACTTTTATCTATCCGATGACTCGTTTGGCATGTCTTCACATTTACGACCTTGTAACAAGGGTAACTTTTCAGCAGTCGAGGACTCCAGATCACTAGCTTTAAGGTTGTCATCCTTCTCCTTGGCTTTTCCCCACATCACAGTGTAAAACCCAATGGCTAAAATTGTTGATCCAATGATGCTACAAATAGGAGAGAAAAGAGGGGAAAGTGTATCGTAGACCGCTAAAAGTAAGACAATTGAAGTGGATGAGAGAATATGATAATAATACCTTCCCAAGTAGAGAGTATCACCCAGGATGACAACTCCCATGGCCACGGCTATGACGATGAACAGTGGCTTGAACATTGCTACATAGACTGGTCCCTTCATTCTTAGTGCCCAGGTGTGGATGGTATTGTTCAAAAAAGACCCAAAGATCCCCTATGTTGTGAGTCCTATCTTAGATTTCATCACAGGAACAAGGCACCAAAGTCTAGGGATGTGCATTTTGGCATTGGTTTGGTTTAAAATGGTATGGGAAAAATATTTACAAACTAAAACCAAACTACATATGTATTATATTTTGGTTCGGTTAAAAACCAAACCAAAATGTCACCCTTACTAAATCCCATGCATGATTCTATCACTTACTGAGCATATGATAGAGGCGAGTGAGATATCCAGTCTAATCTTCCATTTGGTCAGGTCTGGTACCATGAACGCGCCCACAATCGCAGCAAGTACACTCACGACTATATTGTAGAAGAAAACCACGGTTAGTTCTGCTGGATATTCCTTCATGATCTGTGTCTGTACATATAAGATATAGCATTAGATTTCCACACAAAGTAGTGGGTGTTTGGTTCACAAAATGTAAGATCACCTGAACTATGTACCACATTGGGACCAAAAGATACTCAGTTGTAAGAAGAAGTCCGCCCAACACCCAGTTTGACTGTGTCGAGGTTAGAAACCGAATGGCATCAGAAGTTGCATGGGGTGAAGTAGTAGTAGTAGTAGTAACTGCTATTCTTGGACCCTTATAGAGTGTCACTACGAAAGCTCCCGTGACTGACACTATAGTGCCCATCACTTTGGCCCTGCTTGTAGGACTTCTTAACACCAGTGTTTCCATCCTACAAAATCACAGAAGTTAGTGGATATGTGAACCTTGAAAGTTGAAAATGAAACCTTAAATGTAAAGGTACCTGAAAAAGAGTGCAAGAATGAATGTAAAGGCAGGAACCAGGTTGCTTATTGCAGAAGCTAGAGTTGGTGAGCTGTAGCTTATTCCTGCATACCCCAACACCTGTGCTGCGCATCTGTCCTTCCCATCCACACCCCCAAAAAAAGAAGAAAAAGCCCAAACTAGTTTATGCATAAAGCTGTTAGTTTCTAGTGGCTTGTGGGTAAAAAGGGAGTCTTGAGTTCATTACCCGAGGACGCCGAGGAGGAGAATCTTGAGGGCGATGGAGCTGTTGAGTGGAGGAAGCACTCTTGATCTGCATCCCATGGAGTATAAATCACCTTCTAGTTTTTCTTGACAATTATATTATTGTTCATAGATTATAGTAAAAAACATACTCTATAAAAAACATACCTGGTGGAGAAGAAGGGGGAGGGGAGGAGACATATGGCGGCAAAGCCATTAGCGTAGACGACAAAGACATGGTTACTAAAGCCTTGGTTTGTCGCCGCTTTGAACAGTGTGTTCAGCCCCACATTTATGCACTCCATCACCACCAAAGCCGCAAACGGCAACACCTCGTTGTACACTGTGGTGGCGTACCTTCCTCCTGCCGCCTCCGCCGCCGACATCTCCGGTCAGTTGTTCAGGTGCAGTATAGATATAGCTTCACACTTCACTAGAGCACACAGCCTATGATTATTTGGGTACCAATGATTATTTGGGTTTCATATCAGTTGTGGTGTTTTAGCCTTCCCCTTGTTATATGCACACTTTTCGTTTTAGTCCTTCTACGTTTTTTTTGTTATTGCAAAACACGCCTTGTGTTACGGAATATTTTGTTTTCATCTCCCATACGTAAGTATTTACGGAGTAGTTTTCTTGTCCGTCTCGGGTCCATATCAAAATAAACTTCACTTTTTCTTTGCCAAAAAATAAAATTTTCATTTTTTTGTCTGTCTCAAAATAAATTTCATATTTTCATCATTTTCTTTTGAAGAAAAGATTGTATAGTTCAATTTATCTCATTTTTGATGAAAAGAGAAGTAGTACTATTTTTGTCTCTGACAAACACTGGATGTTAATTAAAAAAATTGATATTTCGTATTAGATATTGATACAAAATAATTTATTAGATTTATTTTATATAAAGTAAAATATTTCTGGAATATTATTTTTTTTCTAACTATTATAGTATGTAGTGAGCAAATATCTAGGGAGGAAGGTATTAATCGAGTGTATGAGAGCTTGTTTTGTCAAAATTCTTACGACGACAGATGTGACAATCTTTTTGTCAGTGCCGTTGTTATTATCTTTAATTCTTTACTTCTCTGCTATTGACTTTTATTAAGGCATCAATTTGTCTGTGTATGATTATAGTTTTGGTGGATTGAACATTTTAGGGTTCAAATTAAACAGCTCTACTTTGGTTGGTGTCATGGAAAGCCAATGTTAAGATCAATTCATTTTGGGCCTGTTTGGGAATATCGTTAGCGTTTTGAAAAAAAGTATCTACGAGCAGCATTTAACGTTAGCGCTTTAAAGTAATCTGCACCGTTAATAATTTTGTCCAAAATACTAACGCTAATTTTTTACGTTATTCTCAAACATGCCCTTTACCTTCTCATGTGGTTAAAAAAAAGTTTGCAAAATCCGTTTTTAGTACTTCTAAAAGTCAACAAAGCTAAAGAGTGTTTAGTTTGAAATAGAATTTGTAAAATGGGGGGATGCAACAAGGCATTGATGAATGATGACGACATTGTGCTTTAATTATTTGGTGCCTATGCCACTTTGTTTGGAAAGTGGAGGTAAAGTATTGTCTATTTGTCTTGGTTGATTTGAATAATTGTTTTGAATTATTTGTTTTGTTTATTAATGAGTGGTATATTTCTTGTTGAAGAAAAAAAATATTTATATATAGTTATTATAGAGTATATCGAACTATTGGTTGTTTGGCTCATTTTTTTAAGGGTTGGTTTTTAGTCCCTTTTTTCTTTGTATTCAATTTGTTTAGAGTAATAAAAAAATATGAATATAAATTGCAATATCGAATGTGTGCAAAAAAAAAATTCTTCGCATATGCTCCGTATTTAAAACAACAACTAGCACAATATTTCATGAAAAAAAATATTTAAAAGAAATTGAACAAGAGTAAAATTACCTCTTACCATATGGATTGTTAAAACAATAGTGGCATCACATTAATATGTTACCTCCTTCATTCCATAATTAGATACTCCAATTTCAAAAAAAGGGAGGGTGTTTTGGTTTCAAAAAAAGAGTACAATTTCAAAATGGGATTTTAGCTTTCATCCAATAAAGAGAGTGAGTGACAAGGTAACTAAACGGAAAATGAAAGTTTTTTTTTGGGATACGACTAAAACTACAAATTTTGGTATATTCGTTTTAAATAATTCATCTAGATTTTTAGGAGTTGCAACCAATAAAAGAATGGAATAGAAATTGCCCCTTGATTCCCATGACCTTAATTCCCATGACATTGGGAATCAATTGAGAACCAATATCATGGGATGACCCGGAGTGCTCCGGTGCCCTGTTCGTAAAATTGACGGTTCCTACCCCCTAACCCCCTGGTAAATCCCCCCACCCCGTCCCGACCTGAATACCCCTCCCCCCCACCCCCTTCAATTGTACCCCCAAGTTAGTTTTGACTTTGGAGTCAAAATTGTTCCCTTTAGTTATTTTTAAGATAGGACCTAAAACTTTTCAATTTGAAGGGTGAACTTTTGTTCTTTGAAAAAAATGACTTACTCCCTCCGTCCTTGAGTGTTTGTCCACTTTCATTTTTGCACATCATCCAATGCACTTCTTTAATCCATTTTATCTTGTAATTTGTATATTAAAAAATTATAAAAATTATATATTAATAATCTATATGTTAAGACGAATCAAATAAGATCACACATGACTATTTTTAGGCTTACACATTGAGAGAATTTGATAAGTCAAAGTGCTTAGATGAACAGTTCCAAAAGTCAAAAGAAGACAAATACTCAGGGACGGACCAAGTATTATTTTGTCCTAAATACTTTGTTTACTCTCAAGTGTTAAATTTTGCCCTTCAGAACCGGCCAGAAGGTTACTTGAAAAGAGACAAATTGAGTTTTAATCATTAATCAATGACAAAAAGTAAAAAACCAGACCAAGTACTTGCAGAATCTCTAAGCTTAGCATATTTACCTTCTGCACAATTATCAGAAATCAAATTCGAGTATTATCTCCTGACACATTGCCTTTTGTCTATTGGGCAACATCCACCTACAACAACATTAATAGTATGGTAAGAAGAAGAAGAAGTGAAATAAAAAGGGGGACATGCCCACGTTGGTACCCCCTCTTCTGCAGTAGTTAGCGTTCAAACATTTAACGTTTGTAACGTCAAATGTCATCATGTATCACTCAATCCCCACCACTTTTTTTAATGTTGTCTTTTATCACTCAACCCCCCACATTTTAGCCGTATTCATTTCTGAGCAAAACTTAATTTTTGCCCATTTTTTCGGGAACTATTTTGTCTGGATTTTTTTTCCTACAGTAGTTTTAATTTCCAACATTCTAATTGATACAAGGAACAAACTTGCAATTGAAAGAGCATACTCCGGGTATTAACTTTGAAATGAAAACGGCTTTGTGATGGGACTTAATACTAGTATTAGTTTGAATTAACATATCATGTACTTCCAGCTTGTTTGGACACAACATTTGTAATTAATGCTAACATTTTGAATAATTTTGTAATGGTGGTTATTAATTTTTGTAGGAAAAGTCATCCAGAATAGCTTCAACTTTATCCGGTCTTTCAAATATAATCTCACATTTCACTGTGATGCAAAATATTCCCAACTTTACAGAAATTTACGAATTCTGGGTCGTCGTTAAGTTACTAACGGCCCTTTTTGCGCAACAAAACTAAAATGCCAAGCACTTAATCTTAGAAAACAAATGACAAAAAACACAAAAGGTGAAGTTAATTCCACCAATAATTACAAAATTACATCAACATTATTGTTGTAAAAAAACAATCGGAGACTATACACAACCTTTGCATCATATTATTAAGCTTATACTATAAAAATATAATATGAATGCATTATTCGTCCCTCCATTAATTTGTCAAGCATCAAAAGCTATTTCACCTCAACAGAGGGGCTCTATTCGTTGATGATTCGGATCCATGTTCATCATCAATGTCTTCGAGCGCGAGTACAGCCTTCTCTTTCGCTTGTCCCCACAGCACGGTATAAAACCCAGCGGAACTGACAATCGCTCCGACCACACTTCACAACATTGTACATAAGCTATTAAGATTTCAGGTTCATCCTAAAAGAGTCAATCTAGCTAGTAGAACGAGTAACACAAATGACACTTGTGTGCCTGAAGTTTGTTGGAAGATAAACCATAACATACCTTCCCAAATGAAGAGAAGAGCTGAGGAAAAGGATCTCCATGATCGCTGCGATAATAACTCCCACGGGCTTGAACGTGGCCACATAGAGAGGACCCTTCTTCTCCAAACACCAACTTATCACATTCGATCTAAACACGGTCCCAAACACAGCCTACACACAACAATATACGGAGTATATGTCTTTGTTCATAAAATATTCTTTAGTTCATCAGTTCTGTTATAGTACAAAAAATTTCCTGGACTTTGATTCTTCCCATTCGATTTTTCATGGGAAGAATATTCTTTGGTTCAGGCAGGTTGGTTTTGAAAAAGTTCCTATTTTATTACTTTGTATCTCTCTAGAAGCTGGGGGGAAAAAATCCTTACTGAGAAGATGATGGCTATAATTCCAATGCTAGGAAGCATCACCCATGCATCAATGCTTCTTTCTGAAATTGCACCATAAATGACACATTGAATGGTTCCAAAGAGACAAAAGAAGAACACTACTGTGAGTTGCTCCGGATACCCCTTCAACGTAGCGGTCTGAACACGTAAAATTTAGCTCATTCAACTCTTAAACACAAGTATATAATCGAGAACTTTAAAAGTAATGAATTTTGTTTTTTTTAATCCGAGGTATTAGTCATCAATGCTTGACGTTACCTGAAGAATATTCCATCCAGATGACAAAAGGCAAGTGAAGGTAAAGAGGAAGCCTCCGAAGACCCAAGTTGAGTTTTGTGACAATAGATATGGGTGTGGTGGGGAATGAGAAGAAGAAGAAGTTGCAGAACCAAAGAGCTTTGGCCCCTGATACAGAGTCATCACCATTGCCCCTGTGATTGCTACTACTGTACCCAATGATTTTGCCTGACTCGTAACTTCTCTTAAATCCAACCTCTCCATCCTACAGGTAAAGCTCTTCTAGTTCAGTGAAAAAAATTGAACAGCCAGGAGCACATTCTGAAATTAGCTCGGATTTCATACGAAGTGGCACACTTTTGTATGGAAGCTTGTTTGGAGGGCTAAAATCCACCATTAGTCCTTCAACTTTATGAGTTATGCACGATTGGTCATTAAAGTTTCAAAAGTCCATGAATAGTCCTTCAACTTTATGAGTTGTGCACGATTGGTCTTTCAAGTTTCAAAAGTCCATAAGTAGTCCTTCAAGTACACGTCAGCCCTCCAGATGAGGTCCTTTTGACATTAAATATTAAAGCTAAATGGAATACTAATTTCATATAATATGAGTAAATTTCACTATGTACGACTACTCCGTATTATATGGAGCTAGCACTCTATTTAGCTTTTAACGTTTACTGTCAAAAGGACCTCATCTGGAGGGCTGACGTGTACTTGAAGGACTATTTATGGACTTTTGAAACTTGAAGGACCAATCGTGCACAACTCATAAAGTTGAAGGACTATTCATGGATTTTTGAAACTTGAATGACCAATCGTGCATAACTTATAAAGTTGAAGGACTAATGGTGGAGTTTAGCCCTTGGAGTAAATCAATTTTGAAGTCGGTGAGTTTAATTTTTTCCCTACTCGAGTTTAGTGAAATCCAAAGACTTACATTCCCTTTGAGATTTTCAGAAATGTGTTAGGAAAATCAATTATATTTTGGTAACTAAACACCGGGAGTAGTTTAAGAGCATTATACATTGAACAAAAAAATGAAGAGCGACATGTTTTCCCCTTCTCCTACCTGAAAATGACTGCAAGAAGAAAGGTAAATCCAGGCATCAAGTTTCCAATTCCGGCAGCCAGTGTTGCAGAGCTGTACTTTATCCCGGTGTAAGCAAGGATCTGCAGCAAACAAATCCTGCACTAAATTTCATTCTCCAGATAAATAAGAATCAATTTCCGATCTACAAATCAGAGAAACAATCTAACGATCCGTAATACCCTAGCAAGCCGAGGATGAAGCATCTGCCGAGAATCGAGAAGGTAATCGGAAGAGGTCGGCTTCTGAAATTGAAACCAAATCGTCAAAAATCCAAGTCGATCAAAATTCAAAAGCAAGCATAAACAGATGATTACCTGCGAGTCCGGAAGAAGACGAAGTAGGGGAGGAGGATGAGAGTGCCGAGGGAGTTGTAGTAGACGATGTAAACTAGGGTTTTCAGGCCTCCATTCATGGCGGCTTTTCCGAGAATCGTAATCGACATCTCGCAGGTCTCCACCATCAGCATTGTTGCGAAGGGAAGCCCTTCCTTCTTCATAAACTGGGCCGCCATTGCACCTGATCCTGCAAGCTCTGCCCAGAACCACTCATTCCCAATTCATAATATAGTGCTATTGACAAGAAGGGTGATTTGTTTTGAGGCGATATTTGGCAAGACAAAGCATAATTATGGTGAGTTGTACACAATCATTCATTGATTGGCTGTTACCACTCTAATTTGAGATTTAGATTAGGTAAGTTAGTTCATTGTCGCGCTCAAATTTTAAAAAGTTGGTTTTCTTAAACAAGTTTAAAAAAATGCTCACAAACTAGAGTATCGGGATTAAAATAATAAAATGTCACTCAAATATTTTTTCTGACGCTCTTTTTTTACTCCCGTACTTGTAAATTATTGTTAAATTTTTATTAACTACGGAGAACATAAAAAATGTCACTACTATCTATTTTTAGTTAAAGCCAATTGTTACAAAGAGATGTTTAAAAAACTACCACTAAACTTTATTCCTTCCATTTAGAATTAATTTTTTTAATTCATTATTCACAAAGTCAAACTTTATTTACTTAGTTTATTTATTTTCACTACTCATTTCATAATATAATAGGATCATGTCATTTCTTGTTTTGTAAAACTTTTTTGTAGTTTTTGAATGTATATAATTTTTATTTTTAAATATTTACATGTATAATCAAATAAATTGAAATAAATATAATTCAGTTAAATCTCATAATGCAAAATGAGAAGAATAATTCCAGACAAAAGGGGTATTATTTTGCCAAAAACGTCACTCCTTTTTATATCTATATAGTTCCTCCGTCCAGAATTGATGTTAAATGTCAACTTTAGGTGTTCGAAAAGAATCTTATTTTAATTCTATTTTTTGTTAAATTTTCCTTCTCTTGCTGAATACATTTTTTCCAGTCCTATCAACTAACAGACTTTATTTATAAAAAATCAATATTTAAAAAACATAAATTTGGAATATATGATATATTTTCATTTATCATTACTTTTTATCATGAAACGACAAACTGGCTCGCAATTCAATTAAGAAAACTAGATTGTCACAAATTTTAACAATTAAATTTTTTCCAAATTTAAAGATTGTAAAAATCATACATGTCTCTGCTCATAAGTAGATCGCAAGGGAATGTAGTTTGCAATAGTAAGTGTGATTTAAGTAGATCGCAAGAACAATAGTAAGTGTGATTTAAGTAGATCGCAAGGGAATGTAGTTTGCAATAGCCATTTAAGGAATACAATTCACCCCGTGTGTAAACATTTTCTATAATGTTGGGTGAAATTTAATTGTTTTCCTTAAATGCAATATGTAAAATAGTAAAAAGTGAAAATGTATTTAACTCCCTCCATCTCCAATTATTTTACACACTTCACTATTTAGGATCAAAGATTAATTAATTTATTTCATTGCACATTTAATAAAATAAATCTCACACATGCATGTGTTCCTAATGTTAGACTGTTAGTGCATGTGTTCATTGATTTCTGGTTCTTTTCATCCATAAGAATAAGCTCTGAAAAAAAGATCTCTCTACACCAAATAGGAAAAAACAGAGAAGCCAAAAAAAACATTTTTCAATAACTCTCGAATCAATATCAGAACATCAAACTGCAAGTAATAACCACCAAAACAGTCATAAATCAACAGTTATACGTATAAAAGATTCCGCGAAAGGAAGAACATCAAACCTTCTTTCTTTTCCTTCTTAAGTTCGGCATTGCACGAAGAGATCTTACAGACCCACCAGATGTTAAAGCATCTTCCAAACTGTTTTCCTGAGAATTTACCACCACAAGGCCATCTTCATTCTCAGTTTCCGAAGCACGCATCATTATCTCTTCCCTTGATCTGCTGGCAACCAATTGATCTAATAGACCTATTTCAATATCTTCATCTTCATTAGACTTCTCCAGTCTATTTGTGTCATCATCCCCAGATTCTGGGTTTGTATCATCAGCTTCTTCCTCCAAACAAAACCCACCCCCCAACTTAAGGTAATCTTTGGATGATTGATCCCCAGGATTGTTATTGTCACCATGAGCCATTTGAACAGTGTCTGATTCTTTTTCTGTCCCGTCCAATGTCTCTCTTTCTGTTGGCTCTTTTGCAACTTTGTTATGCTCATCATCTTCTAGATCATCAGCATAACTCACAATTTTCCGAGGCCTCCCTGACTGCCAGATTATGAGAATCGGATAAAAACAGGGAGTATAGATTTCAACAGCTCCAAGGTTACAATAAATGGAATGACGACAGTAGAACAATGTCAGAAAAGAAGACGCTACATTATAGAGATCCAAATTGCGTGCAGTACGAATAAAAGTAAAAGGTTCCTCCTCAACAAAAAGGTCATGTTCCAAATTGCTTGATCCAATAGCACTTCTATAATTTTCAAATTTATTTGTTGGCTCAACTAAATTATAAAAAGTGCTCCATATCATTCATGATTTATGGAATTGCTGCAACAAAATTTGAAATTCTACTGTAGTGAAATGAGAATCTTTTTTTCTTTTCTTCTTTTTTTGGAGGGTGAAGGGGATAAGACTTGAGAGTGGAGGAATGCATGGTAATAACAAAGTGTAAAACGTACCCTTCTTGTGTGTGATACTTCAACCTTCTCAATATCAATGTCTTGCTCCCCATCACTGCTAGTTTCATCAGCAGAACTGGTTTCTTTAGATCTCGAACAAGAACTCTTACTCTTCCGTCCCTTCTGAAGAGAGAGACTTCTCTTGCCTCGTTTGAGCCTTTGCCTGGCATTTGATTCTTCACTGCCTCCCGATCTTCTAGCTGCCCCTTCACTCTGTGAAGGATCTCCCGTACTTTTTCTCGGCTTCTTTGCAGGTGGAGAATTTTTTGCATTCTTAATCTCATCATCACCCGAATCTGCTCCCATCGAACCACTTTCTAATATAGTTCTCTTCTGATTACCATTAGGTTTCACTTTTTGCTTCCTTCTCCTTGCAGGTGTATCTTCTGCAGCATCATCAAACAATTCCAATGAGTGGTTGCCTGTCATACCCTTCACTGCCTTCTTTATCCTTGCACTGCGTATTTTTGCAAATCTTTCATTGAAAGCATAGAATGCTTCCAAGCGAAGTTGTGTCTATAAAGAATTCAAAGCAAATAATATGTAAGTGCTGCTTCTCTTTACTTGACTCCAAAAAGAATGCATCAAAATAACACAGCTTCGAATCCATCATAGAAAGTGCATAAGTTGTACTCCGTATTTTTATTATTAAACTACTATTATTCTACTTGTTGTTTGAAAATTATTACCTTTGTGATTGATGTATCAATGGGTACAAATTATACTTTCAATAAGAGTAGTGTGTAGATTAATCACTAGTGGAGAACAATTATAGCACGTTTTTTTAGGCACCTCCAAGTGAAGTCCAAATTTATTCGGGAAAGAAAGGCAAATCTGTTTAGGGCAATTATAACATGAGATGGCATAGTACTAAAGTAGGGCAAATAGATTAACCTCATGTTTATTGTACTCCCTCAGTACAGGTGTTATCAACTCATCTGTCTTCTGGATGGTCCACCCAAACTTCTCCCAACATAACCTACGTGTTCTCAATTCAGAGCAAGAAAGAGGAGCCATTAAGTGAATGAAATTAAGCACACAGTTCAACAGCAATTTAAGAGAAGTACGTAACCAAGTTTGTAATTGGATAGATATTTGAGTTCATTGAGGGTTTCTTCAATGTTGTAGACCTGTAGGCATGGTAGAATTTTTGCCAAAAAAAAAAAAAGATTTTGACGCTTGTAGTGGTTCACTCTAAGCATGCAAGAAAGCAAGGAAAATTTGGAGTCATCCCTATGCAGAACTAAATGGTCAATTTGGATGGAAGTTTTTGGAGGGATCGGAGGGAAGGGTTTTGGAGGGCCAACTGGCGAAGTCTATATCTTTAGGAACACACACATTTGCCACTTTATAAAATAGAAACATTCACATAACATGTGATTGTGTAACACTTCAATCACCTTTTATCTGCTTTCAGAAACATTCAATTTATCATGATATAAACTAAACCCTCCAAAGCTTTTTCCCTCTCAGCCCCTCCAGAATCCTCCATCCAAATAGACCCTAAATATATACAGCCACATGCCCACATATAACTCACTTGCAAAGTACAGATACATCTGGTTTTCCCCAAGAGAAGACCTCTTTAGACCTATCAACTTGTGGAGTGTCATAAGCTGAAACTACAGCATCACTTGGAAAAGATGAGGGAATGTGCCAATTCTTGCTAACATTTCTCTGTAAATAAAAGGGTTCAAAGAAAGAGAGAGAACAAAGTGACTTCTTTTTGCCAGTTACACAGTACACTAACTGATTATAAAATAAAGCACAATGTGGAACGCTATCTCACATGTTTATTCATGAAAGTCTGCTTTATCTTTTCACCATCAACAGGCTGCAGAATATTGCTAGAGCTGTATCCTCCTTGGACATCAACCTTATTTAAAATGGTAGGATCAGGAGACTCAACCCACTCCCGAAACTTCCGAAGACCATCTTCCCCGGGAAATGCATTTACAACCTCAATAGCATTGACTATACCAATCCCACTGTACCATAGATGGAAGAGAAGGTGAGGATTTTGCAGGACACGTGAAAATAATACACTATCATGGAACCTTATTAGCAAAGAGAAATTACAGGTACAAGCGCATGACATGATCAGAGTGGAGAAACTGTAGGAATGGGATATTTAAGTAACAGTGTGGAGGGCTTTGAAATGGAAGTGGAGACACTGTAGAAAGGTGTTACCTCACACCTTCAGTATAGTCACTTCCAAGCAGCAAAGCCATACGGATTAATTTCTCTCGATCTAATCCAAGCTCATTTTCGATGTCCTGTAAAACAGAAAATGTTAAAGCAACTCTCTTACTGGCAAAACAGAAAGATAAACCCCAAATTAACAATTTCAAAACAAAAATGATATGGTGTTTATTTCCAGTGAAAGATAACAAAATGCTAAGATCTTATTTGAAATAAACCTTCATTAAATACGTCTCAACATATTTGCGATCATCAAATATATTTTTGTACACGCATCGAGCACCAAACAAGAATGCATCAGAGTCATCAGTGACCACACCATCAACCAGGTCAACAAGTTCCATATAAGCACACTGAGCCTCAGCCTCCATGGGTGCAATAATATACGGTAAGCCAAATATTTGAAGCAATTCCTGAACTTAAAACAAAAAAAACACAATTAGATATGCAATTTGTACCCATTCCACACCATACAGAAACTACATGAAAGCTGACTAGCTGAGTACGGAAGTATTTGAACTTCTTAAAAATCACAAGCATATGTATGCAATTATCGAAAAATTAGAATAAAACAAATAACAGAAATCACAACATGAAAAATAAGCGAGAAGAGCTGGCCAAATAAACTCCCGGAGAACAGCCTGGAGATAATATCTTTCATACATAATTGCAAACTGAAATAATGTACAAAGAAATATTAAAAGGCTGCACCAAAATATAATTCCAGATCCAGGTCCAAACAGACAAAACCCACAAAATAAATCACAAAAAATAGTCTATTGGTCTACCTGGCACTCTGCAAACATTTCACTGGTTACAGATTCTGCATTGCGCTCAAGCCTCCTCTGCTCATCTACCAATTCTTTACGCTCCTCCCCTAATGCAATCATCTCTTCTTCCAAACTTTCAGGTGCAAATTCTACATGACCTTTATGGATATTCCCATCAACAGCGGTACCCAAGAGCTCCTCTCTCTTTCCTGCCGTTTCATCATGTATTTGTTCCCCATCTAGTCTTTGTGCACTGCAAGTGTCACTAATCGGTAGAGATGTTTTCCCCGCTTCAAAGTTGCCTATATGATCTGATACTGCTTGGAACCTCTTTTCTTGAGCACATGAAATATTTAAATTAGGTGATCTGGGTGATGGCCTTGCAAACACATTCGAAACACCAGAATAACTACAACTTTCATTCACCACCTCAGGGATGGTATTCAAAGTCTGCACTTCAATCATATGCTCCCCTGTTTCTTCTACACCAGTCCCACTTTCCAAAGTAAGTTTTGGTTTCAGATTTCCACTCCCACCAAGATCTTGTAATTCAGACTCGGCATCTATTCTCCGAGTCAATATTTCCCCTTGCACCAGATTATCTATAACTGGTCTTTTCGGCTGACTCTTTAAACAGTTATTGGTATCTGCAATGTCAGAGTGTGCTTTCCAATTCGATATCATCCCCTGAGTCTGATTATCTATACATTTTGGGCCCAAATGGGTATTTGATGAATTATCGACCTCTATGGTTTCAACCCTATCTATGGCATTGTTTGTCTTCAAATATCTAACAGATTTGGAAAGTCGTTCTGGCTGATGAAGAACTTCAAGTTCTGAACTCTTATCATTGGAACAAATTTTTCCACAACAATCTGGCTCAGTAATTGTCTCCATGGTACCTTCTCCATTGACTCTTTTGGATGCATCACTAGTAGATGATTCTTCAACTAACCTTTGCTGTTTTAAATCCTGGAGACTTCTTCTTATTGCTTCTTGAAAATCAGCTTCTTCGTCCAAGTCACCTTTAGAACCATTCCTCCCACCAGATGGACAGGATAATCCACCCTTATGCATATCTAAAGATCCTTCCTCCCACTCAACTTCACTCTCATCATTCAACACACCATCTGACAGAGCAAGTTCATTCCCCCCGGGAAAGTCACTACTTAGCATCCCAAATTTCTCTTGGGTGTCTCCTTCCTCCCACTCAACATCTGAAGTATAATCCACGGATTGTTTCTCAGCAAGGGAATTGCTTACAGAAAAGTCTAATATTGGATTACCTCCCACTAAACTAGCAAATAGATCATCATCATCATCACCACGGTTATGCTCTTTTTTCTCTTCAAAAGATATCTCAAGTGAAGTCCCACTTTTTAAAAGAGATGCTTCATTTTCGACATCATCACAGGTCATCCCATGGTCTGTGTCAGAATCATTCAAATTCTGGATCTCTTCATGTGCAGTAGTAGCATTGCTGCTAACTTTGGAAAAAGTAGGTAAGTTACAAGCATCTTCATTTTGTACCACCTTCTCCTTCTCAATCTCTTTCATCAAGTCGAGGTTCCTTTGCAGATCGCGAGTCATACGGATTCCCATGGCTCTCACTCTGCTCACTCTGACCCGCCCCCTCTCATCCAAATACGTTTCCACATCATCATGAGTTATCCCTTCAGGCTCTGCAAGGAAAGATTCTAGTGCCACACTGGATTTCTGAACAGCAACATCATTGACCATAGTTGCTGAATTGTTTGAACTTCGTGTTTCAAATAGTTCATTCTTATTTTGGTTTTCTCCAGCGGATGTAAGGACTCTTATTGATTCACCATATGCAATTAAGCAGAAAAGTTATTTTAGATGAACAAGAAGATATGTGGAAGATGCAGTAAAACCAAAAGCAAAAAAAATGTAAAACATATCCACCATATTTCATAATAGGGAGATGACAGGAATTATCAATTCATCGTGCACTTGTGCATAGGTATAGTTGAAATGTGTCCACTCACTGTTTGTTTCCTGTAAATGATGACGAGAAAATAAATTCTCTATTGGACTCAGATGCAATACGTGAGATCTTTACACCCCCTATTCCCTTCCCGGAAGCAGATTTTTGCACTTCATCTATCTCACGGCGGAAGGCAACTGTTTTAAGGTAAGCCTGTATTTGCAATTCTGAAAACTTCTCTGGTGCCTGGTGAATGCACCCAAATAGGCAGATATTCAAAAGAAATGTAGGATTGAGTCTATTAAATCATCAGTGATGCACTTTTAATACTGTTCAGTCCCGAAGATTGAAGAAAAAACACTGTACATTAAAGTGCCTGCACCTAGCTGACCCCATAAATGAAAATATCACCTAGCTAGAAGTACTACTTTTTCTGGAATATGCCCTTATAATCAATAAACTCTAATTTTGCACAAAATTTAAAGCTGCAATGCAATTCTTTTCCCATTTCCTTATGTAATACTAATAATAGGAAGAATATCAGCATTAACAAAATGGCGAATGCTTAGCATGAAAACTTTTAGACAAATAGAACCAAGAA